TTATAATGTATAATTTTTATAGTTTTAAAATATTAATTTATTAATAATACTATTTCAAGTCAACTTGAGTCAAGTCGAGTTTGATTTGAGTTTAAATCGAGTTGAGTTAAATATTTAACTCGACTCGAATTTAATTTAACTCGTAAATCATCAAATCAAAAAAATATAAACTCAACTCAATTTAAACTCGACTCAGCTTATCTGACTCGTGAGTTAACTTGACTCGTCCAGAACTCTAAACATAACCAAGTCTGATAAAATATTAACTCTCAAATATCTGGATTGATATGCCAAATTAAGTGGATTACCAAGCATTTTGACAGATAAGATCCATTCCAGTTTATACAAAAAATATAAAAGAGAAATGGGACTTAAGCTATGGCAATTATCAGAAGGTCACCTTCTCATAAATTTGAAGCCAGAAAACAAAGTATCTGATTTACCTTTTTCTGAGAAATGTGAAGAAAAAGAGCCTATCACCTTCGAAACCAGACCTGATCCAGAGTTAATTATCAAATCCGTCTTAGAGCACTTCTCATACTTGAAATTTGGTAATAATTTCAGAGGGATTGATAATTATGATTTTACATCACCTCAGCCGTAGAGCTCACCATGCCCTATTTGTGATAGAATTATGGATTACATGGCTCATGGTACTGCGAAAATGGAAATCAGTTTCTGAGTTAGCGAAATTGTATTTCCAAGATAAGTTGGAATATTGTCTTACTTGCAACGCTTTTAGTTCACAATCGTAGCATAGGCCAGTCACGTGAGATTGATCACCAAGTCTATAGTACCCTTAAAAAGGCGGTAATCTATATATTAAGTAATACAAAAAGTTTGCTATAAAAACTTATGCATTATCTCATCACTCATTTCATCAAATGCATAAAGAGAAAACATGCTAGAGAATACAGATGCCGAATGTTCTTGTCCATATGCTTTCGAAGGTAGATATTTTTTTAAAGTAAAAAATAGTGATTTTCCATATTTGCTTATTAATACTATTTTTTTTTAGATATTAAAAAGTACTTTGAACTGGTCTCGAAACGTGACTTTGTTCCATCCCTTTCAGAATTTGTAAGGAAAAATACTAATTTATTAGTTCGTTCCCCTCCAGAAGTAAATGATTTTAAAAGTTTAGATGGTGCATGGAAAAAGAGGTTCACCACAGTTGCAAAAATACTTAATATGGAGGAAAGTATCAGTATTTTTAGTTTTTCCGCATTTATGACATCACAGTCAGATTTCGCCTTAGTACTGTGGATAGTTAGGTGTCACCCTCAGCCCCATCATTGCGATAATTGCAATTTCCTTTAACTTTATTGATGAATTACTAGTTACTTAGTTACTAGAGAAACTTATATTAATTATTTTTAAATTCTAAATATATAAATTAATGTTGACACGCCCGATTGAAATATTATTATTGAAAAGAAAAGAAATATAAGGTATGTTACAAGAATACTTTAGCGGTTGCTTTTATCAATTTCTTAATGATTAACATGATCAATATATGACAGGAACGAATCACAGTCTGACGTCGTGAAAAAACTTTCACTATGTACGAAAAAGAACATGAAATTATTGGAAATCAATTATCCAAAGACCAGAAAAACTATCTCGAAAATTATGAACCCAATAATCTACCAGGATGACGAATCAACAACAGCCAAGAGGAATAAAGAGAACCACAACAAGCATACTATAGCTAGTGATACGTTACAAATAAATTGTTTGTGCTACACTTTCGCTACATTGCTGATACAATTATTTGAATTAGTATCAAATCTAACTAAAAACAAAATTACCGCACTAAGTAAATGACCAAACTCCGATATTAATTCTGAAGATTTAAAAAACAACTCCTTCATTGTAACAGAAGAGCAGTTTGAAGCCCCCGGACTTATTGATTCTCCCATAACACCATCATCATATACTGGTACCAATGTGGATTTGGTTCTGAAAAAGTCACAGGCTACTGAACATCAAGTCCACCCGCCTGAATATACTGAAAACCCATCAGAAAATACTATGTGTGATGGATACTCCACAACTCTAAAACAATATGAAATCGACATCGAGGTATCATTCTTTAGTCTAGTCTACTCTTGTTCTCTTGTTAATAGATTATCTGATTAATTTCGTTTAAAAAGGATGACAATAATGTTAGAAACACATCAAAAGAAAAACAAATGAAGATGACAATGATGACGAATTACTTGAAAATGCCAAATTTCTATTCAACGAATTGAATGAAGAATTATTAATCGATAAGGTTGATGAAAATTCACTATTGGATAAGACTTGATTGCCATTAGGAAATATTAATGGTAGAATACCGGAGGTAAATCTTAGTATAGCCATTTTATATTTGTGTTTTATATATTTGTGTATTTGATAAATTTATTATTTTTATTATCAATAGGAGTTTCTTAATACAAATTTAATCGAATCATTTAATAAATACCAAAAAAAATACTGAAAACTCGCAAGATCTTAATGTAAGTTTAGAATCATCATTTTAACATGATCACTTCTCGCTTTTAATATATCGTACATTTTATTAATTTTAGCCCTGCATATTGGGGAATATTGGATTAAAGAAAGAAAGTTTAAACAACTCTGGAATAAAAAATAAGGAGATTGAAAAATTATCACAGAATTTCTCCAATAAAATCAGATGGACTGACGATGTCCTTGCCTCCAATGAAATTCAAAAATATTTTGATAATAATTATGAGAATGTTAATAAAATTGAGATGATTAAAGACATGAATACTAATATCCAGTATATGTATGTAGATTGAATATATCTGTAACCCAATTTTTTTATTTAATAAAATGTTTTATTATTCAGGAAAAACAAGATGCTGAATCTCCAAAGGGTGTGTATAGAGGAAGAACTGAAGATGTGGACAACAGTTCTGTTATTTTCTGGCATTTTTACGTCAGAAAATATCAAAAACACTTAGTAAATAACTTAATATTTTCTTTTAGTGATAATATAATGATTTCTAATTTATTTTTATGTACGATTTCTTCAAATATTAGGGGTAAAATCCAAGCGATTTCAACAAATAAAGCACGAAATGAAAATGCAAATCCTTTTTCAAGAGCAAAGGTTAGACATAAAGTCGATATGAAGGGTACATTGATTAAAACGCCAAGTAAATTCAAAGTAATTTACGAAGAAGTTTCTAGGGGACTTGCTACTTTTGGAATACCTGCATCCTGTCCAAAAAAACAGTATGTTGACAAGGTGAAGTTAATGATCATGTTGCGAGATAGTTTCAATCAGTTCTTCAAAGATAATCGTCATGTAAAGAATAAACAATGTAAAGAATTAACTGTGTACGAATGGCTACAAATCGGTAAGCGTAAATAGATATGAGTTTCATACTTAAAGATTATATTAATATTTGATTGTTAGGAATTGAGTTAAAAATATACGCAATGGACTGGGTTGGCTCTGGAATTTATAGATTTGGTAAATTAGACAAATGCTTGTTACCAGTCGATAAAAATATTGGAAGATGCTTACTGTATTTTAAAATTACTAGAGGTAATTTATTATATTGCTTTTTTACTATTACTTGGTAGTTATATATTAACCATAGAATTAATGTAGTCAAAATTACTCAAATCGGAAAAAATAATTAAAAGAATAATACAAGATAATACGAAAAACAAAAGAAGACGTATCGAAAAAGAAAACAGTCCTCATTTAAACAAGAACTGAACTCCAAAATAATTATGTAGTACTAAAGCAAATAGTTTCTACAATTATTAGTTTATAAATATAATATAAAATATATATGTGTGGGTTAATAAATGCTAACTCGTTTAATCTAACCAAAATATTGGTATTGTACTCATATTTTAAACTCTAGATTTTTATCATATGACCTTTTTTTGAATTCGAGGAGGCATCAGATAGTAAGACTCTACATTCCCGCCCTATTTGTTAACTGAATGAAAAATAGCTTGGATTTCCTCATCATATATAATTACAGATGAAACCAATTATGAAATTTAACGCAGATGCTTGTCTAGCCTCAGCCATCATTTTTAAGAGAATATGATAACTTTTTTCTTTTGAAGATTTTAGCTAAAACAAATTAATAAAGTTCTGCCCAACAATTTAGGGCTTATATTTTTATTTGCTTTATGAATATGTATGAGTATGTGTAATGCATTTGGAATATGTAATAAATAATTTCGTAAAATATGCAATCACTTGACATACTGTATTATGTTACATGATTTTTTCTTCTGCACAGTTTTGACAGACTTTACCATCAGAAAAATAATATATTTTTTTACATGTGTATTTTATTCGTAATCATTTTCCTGAATTCCCGTTATGCTTATCTAGCTAAAGAAAAAATCTGAAATCTGATTGGCCGATCATCTCATGATTTATAGAAACTCGCCAGCTCAGGGATTTAAAAGATCACATGTAATACAAATTTTAGCTGAAGGTGCTATGCATAGTTTAGCCAAATCAAAAATTATAATATCTGTTTTCTACCCAAACAATTGAATAAAAATGAATTTGGATTTATTGAAATATAATATTGCTTAAATCAGCTAAATCACTAATAATGCTATAAAATCAATAAAATTGTTGAATATATCAGGAAATATTGTTAATAAACCTAGGCCTAATAAATTCATTGATATTATTTTAGATAAATAAATCTGTGTCTAAACCCATCAATCTTTATCCTGAATATGATATTGAATATATTAGAAACTGTTATGGTTTTTCTTATCCTGATCAATTTGAAAAGATGGTTGAGGTTGAAAAAAGATATGATAATTTATCTATTATTAGTTTGTATGAAACTCTACAGTAATGGACTATTTATATGAAAGACGCTTTCAAGCATTGATTACTAAAGGTCATAAAAGCTATTATCATGTATTCTACCTTTTCAGATCATCTAGACAAGAAGTAACCAAGACATACTATAATAATTACAAAGGGAAAGAAGTTGCTATTGGTTATCATAGACTTAATATTCACAGTTGCAAAATGGTTATTTATTTCGATTATTGAAAATTAATAGAGATCACTGATAAAAAACCAAAAAAGATATATTTCAGTGGATAGTGGAAATATGAATATGAGATTAAGCCTGAAGACTTGATAAAACATCATTGAGATAACTCATGTTTCAAGACTAATAAACATATAGAAGCGGTCTTAAAGGGACCAGCCTATCTTCTTACAAGCTCAAAGTCAGAAATATTGCATGAAAAATCTTCTAACCAGAGAGGGTATTATATTCTGAAAAAAATACATCTGATTCCCTCCCGCAGTTCAATAGAACAAGTAAAAGCAAAATATTTATTTTATCTATATACGCAAAATAAAATAACTTAAACCATCTTAATCAATCAAAAGATACTATATTAAGATTGAAAAATAGAACAAAAATCATGATTGTTTAACTGATTTAACTAATATAATTTATTTTTTGCATTACATGATAGATGATCGCATAATGGAATTAGTCAAAGGTGTTATACATAATCTGCCTATTCTGGGTTAGATCTTCTAATTTATAATGAAGTATTATTCAGAAAGATCAATGAAGCGATCTTAGGGATTCTTGATTATTAAATACTACTATAATTATAGTTTTAAAAATTTTTATGTGACAGTTATTCAGCAAGTTTATAGGAATTACAAAAAGAAGCCTGAATCTTTGACAAAATTGGTTTAGGAAATAGTGAGGAATGATGATACTTCTGACAATAAGAAGTTTTTAAATATTGTTCTCTGTGATAAAATATATCATTTCATTAATGGAAAACTAATAAAATCTAATTATATGAGTAACTAATTTTATGTAGAAAATAGATATAATATTTATTCTGCTATTACTTAAATAGAAGCGAAGAGAAATCAGTTATATAAACAATTATATATTGTAGTATACCTAGCTACTTTTAGAGTATTATATCAGCAAAGCTATATAGTTATTAGAGGTATAACTTGGTATAACATATTAAAATGGTTACAGAATCCTGAATTTTATCTTATTAGATATAACTTTGAGAACATCATTAGAATTTCAGATTGTGGAGAGGTAAATCAATAGAAATAGAAAGAATATACAACTTATTACCATTAAAATTTCTATACTATATTCATAGAAAAGATGTTACCGTAAATTTCACAGACTTAAATGATAATTATGAGTTTGTACGCTGAATTTTTTAGATAAGATCTTGACCTAAATCCTGAATATTATATTAAAAAAATAATATATTATTCAGCCATATGAAGCATCTCAAGGCCAATGCATATAGGCGTGTATAATATAAATTAGCATGTTTTTGATCCTCATTAAAGTATATATGATGTAATATTGAGATCTTTAATGCACATTCCACATGCCTTATTCTCAAACACAAAATTTTAGCTTAAAGTGTCTTGCATATTCTTCTGTCACTTTTCTAACATAATTGTAAGCCTAGAGTGAAGTAAATAGAGTTATTTAAAAGAGCAGTATAGTAAAATTATTATGCCTTTACATTATTTTTTTACTTCGCTTAGCAGAGCTTTCACTAATATTTAACCTTTACTTTATTAAAATATAAAAGAATTCCTTTAACGAGAGAGCCTCTTGATATTATCAGAATCTCTATGGTATTATTTATATGAGTAAAGGAAGGTGAATGGACAGGCAATCTCATAAAGAAGGTGAAGAACTTTGAAAATATTTTGAAGCAAGTTTTAGAACAAGTTCTCTCAGAGAATATTAAGCAGATAAAGAAGCTTTGAAGTTTTGATACTAGAAAAAAATTAGCTAAATAGGTAAGACAATAAACTATTTTCATAATATATATATGAATATAATGACATGCTTTTTTTTAGGTTTCTTAATATAATATAATCACTAGTGAAGAGGCTGATATCTGTTGTAATATTATTATTTCCTACATAGCAATAACTAGTTTTATACCATATATTAGCATATATAATAGCAGTGTATAAAATTTAGACCAAAAGTCATATGCACAAGTTGTACTAAAAATAGAAAATTAATGTATGTATTACATAGTATTTACATTTTTATAAATAATTAAGGGATCGGCATCTCTAGTTCAGTTGGTAACAACTGAGCTCCTATTGTGGGTTACACTACAATAGCCACAGGTTCAAGTCTCAGCCGAGGCATAAAACTAGATGATTTTCATTAGAATTTCATATGTAACTGAATA